TGCAAGTTGCTGCATTGTGGTATTGCAAAAAGTAGGTATGATTTCTTCTTCGTTCAACGCTACACGCAACAAGAAAGACAACCCCTATCACACTGCTGTGCAATTCCTCCAGCAACTCGCGTGGCAAAGAGGAAATGGAAGCTGTTTCGAGGTAATATGCATGGGGTATTTACAGCATAAATAATGATAATAAGAAGTGTTTGAAGTCAGGATTRAACTTGTTTTACAGTTCAGATGATCMGAGTTGTAATTTGTTGCTCTTGTATTTGGTTGATTCATAGGCGCGCGCTATGAACTGGTGGACTGCCAGTGGTACTACGTCAAGATCCCGTGCCTCGCGGRTTGCTCTCTAGTCTGTCACAAGGTTCACAAGGTATGAAACACTGGTCGACCTTGTAACAGACTTAAGTTTTTATGCCAAATTTAGTCTACAAATACAATGCGAGCGCGTTCATCGAATCATGTAGTGAAGCGCGTATTTTTTATGAATTAATAAAATCCAATATAAATAAAGAATATCAAAGAATAAATTGAAGCATTCAAGGGATGGGTTGCATGTGATTTACTAAGGAAAAAGTAATGATGTTTCAGCCGTGTTACACAAAGTATGACTTTTCATTGACAAAATTAGGAGTCGCATGAACAACACGCCCTCCCTCAGACCACAATGTAGTCTACTAGTGACCCTTACCTGTACTCTTGGCATCGAATGGATACAAAGGCTTTCTAATCGGTACTGCTAAAGACGTAATAGAAATAAAAGTTGAGTACCCACCCACTAAGTACAGTAAATCAAAGTGGTGATTACGATGCATACACAAAACAATCCTTTTTTTGTTTTTAAGTTTAAAACACCGTATATGATGGTGCATTTAGTTTATTTCAATTACTTTTGTGTTTATTTGAAGATCGTTTAGAGTGGTTCTGTTTAGTTGTCTTGGCTGGAGACTCTGAGATCARATATTGAAAATTAGTCGAGTTACATACAATGGACCATATTCTCTGTAAATCTGCCATCACACCTCTCCCACTTTAATGGCATCTATTTCATCGTGTTAGAATCAAAATACATGAGAGTAGACTCTACTAACGTCCTATCATAAGGGTTGAGCTCTCGTCCTCTGCTCTCGCTTTAACTTTTGTACAGTTTTCTCTCGGAGTTCGAAGTCTTTTATTTATTTTGTTATTCAAAAGGAAGCCGGATATAAGTATAATAATATMTTCGTTATTATTTAAGGTTTTGTATCCTTGGAATCGGGATCAATATTTCTGAGCCATGGTCTGCGGAGTTTATACTGATGTTTACGTGGATTCTGCCGTGGGCTATGTTTTATATTTTAGTCTTAAACAAATTAAGTGTTTTTATTCAAAAAGTTAAGTTTTGCTTTATCAAACGGGAATTTACAATGTAAATTTGTAAAAAATTTGAAGYCACAACAAWTTTTGTTAAAAGAACCATGACTTACTACTTTTATGGCGTCCCTAGAAAGTGCATACAGTATGTGCTTTTACCATATAAGGGCACACAGGCAGGTGAAGTTACTTACAGTGCAGAGTGACATTAATATAGTGCAAAAAKGTGCCGAGGTGAAGTGCTCAGCAATAAGAACCTTTTGCCTTACGGTATATCTCCCGAGCTGTTCTCTTCTTGGCTGGCAGACTCTCACATCTGCCTTCACTCGTCCACGCACTCACCTAAAGTCATATCAAAGGTTACTGACTTACATCGTCCACGCACTCACCTAAAGTCATA